TGCTGTGACTCCATTTTCTCATCTACAATGAGATAATACTTAGGAGGTATCATGGATAGAATGTTGGCATTTGTCAGACTTGAGTTCAAACCCTGCTGACCCTAGTGTTAAACTCTCTGTGCGTGTTTCCTAGCTGTAAAATAAGGGATTAGAACTCTATGGCCTCTAAGGCTCCTTCCAGCTCTACAGCTATGATTTATGATAATAATTTCCATATTCCCTTCTCCTACCTCATAGAGCCAATGGGGAAAATGACTGAAATAAGACATGGAAATTGTCTTAACTTTCTGGAAGTATTTAGACATGCTGTTTTTCTCCCCTCTTTCATCTTTATTCTCTCTTCCCCTCTACTCCCACCTTCAAGTGCTGCTGAGCACCAGCTTTGTATCTCATCAATAACCTATTAATTGAAGGCTGTTTCCTGAGTAAAGTATTTTTGTGCTAGGCTGCTATCTCAATGTCTCTTTTTGGGTCCTACCCACCTGCACTTCTGTTACTATCTCCAATGGGACTGGGAGAGGTTGAAGGGAAGGGAGAAGGATGAGAGGTCCAGAGCGGTCCAGGGTATGCCACTGGAATTGAGCTGACTCTCAAAGTCTAACCAACTCACTAAACCACTTCTCTTATCTACAAAATCCACACCTCTACTAATTTCCCAGAGTAAAAAAAATGCTGTTTTTTACCAACTTTGGGAATAATAGACAGGTCAACCAGAGTGCCCAGCATTTACAAAAGTGCCACCCTGGGAAATCAGGAGTCCCAAAGTGTGACCAGGCCCTGACACAGATCTAAGTGTGAAGCCTAACTTCACTAAAGAGATTCAATGAGCTTTCTAAACCTCTCTCAAAAAATTCCATGTAAAATCATGCCTCACAGGATGTGCAGTGTAATACTGGTCTTGCTGTACGTTAGGGGTGGAGGGGGAAAGGGGGCCTTTGTGCTATATTTAGCGTGACACTCAGTCCATTTTTAGAAGGGGAGAGAGGCGAATGAATGGCTCTTTGACACAGTCAATGGAACACTAGGAGGCAAAGAAGTAAGGTTTTGGTATGGACTGGAAAAGCTGCTCACTAGTCAGCCAGGATGGGGCCAAGAAGCTCCACAACCACGCACAGTCACACAATAGTGGATAAGGTGAGGATCCAGCTTTAGTGGTCATCTGACATGGTCCTCAGGAGCAGAAGGAGCCTTGAGAGTCTTTGCAAGGTAAGAGAGGAAGGAAAGAGGATAGACATTTTGTAGAGCACCTCCTACATGCCAGGTGCTATGCTAAGTGCTTTACGAACATTGTCTCATTTTCTTATTGACCCTAATTTCTAAGAGAGACATCCATCTCTCACCATCTGCTGGCAAGGTTGTGGTAATTTTACATTCTCAGCTTGCTGTTTTCCAGACAGATATGAAGACTATAACCTGGGCTACTTAGAGTCTATTTGGGGCACGATTCATGTGAAGCCACTGGGACATTTACACAGTGGTGCCCCATGTGTCCCCTTTGCACTACCTGCAGCATGAAGACTTCTTTGATGCTCACAACTGTGAGGATCTATCTCTATCCCAAACTACCACATAGTTAAATATCTTTATTTGTATTTATTATCTATCTATCTACACATATGCACACACACACACGCACACGCATACATGCACACGTACTTGTTGTCTCTCCATTGCAATATAAGCTACTTGAAAGTGGAAATTATTTCACTCTTTGTATTTGTCTCCATAGTACCTGGTACAGAGTACAGCCTTAATAAATGCTTACTGATTTATTGACTATTTGTTAATAAGCAGCCAAGAGACAATATTGCCTAGTGGATAGAGTGCTGGCCTTATACTCAAGAGGACCTGAGTTTGAATCCCACCTCCCATATTTTTTATCTATGTGACCCTGGACAAATCATGTACCTCTTGTAGCCTCAGTTTCCTCATCTGAAAAGAGGCACAATGGCAGCTACTCTAGAGGGTTATAAAGATGAAATGAGATTATGTGAGCAAAGTGCTTTGTAAACTGTAAAACCCTTTATAAACTCCAGGGATTATTTATTTAGAGTGAAGGGGAAAGCAGCCAATGTCTTGGCTTATAACTGAAGTAAGGGAAAATCTTGAGTGTTTCATGAATGCTCAAGTGGAGGAATGAATACTCCCCATTTCTATAAAATAATGCACAATTTATCGCTTGAAGAGGAACTGAGCCTCCGGCTTTCGCTCACTGAAAAGATGCACTTCTTCGCACTCACATGACAATCACAAAGAGTCAGGGGGAGCCCAGCTAACAATTCCAGAGTCCACGTTCAGGTCTCAAGCAGGGAGATTTCCCTGGAGGGCTCAAGCTCTGAAATCCCCTTCCTCTGATGGCTGGCCAAAGGCTTTATTTGTCAACCTTCAGGGCACAGCAGGAGCATTTTCTGCGCGGTCTCTGAGAGGGAAGGCATGGGGGACAGGGGAAGATGAGCACACTGGGTTATTTATTCTCTCAGGCTTTTGAAGCATTTCCAAAGGATCTTAAAAATTTCCCATCTCCAAGTTACAAAGGCATAAATGGAAACACAGTGAAAATAGGGAGACTATTTACAATCTCTTGGATACTTAAGATACTTGGAAATAAATCTAATTTGTGTAGTGTAGGTAATACAGTCATCCCTTCCACACTGAAACTTTCCCCATCCAGGTTTTGATATATTGTGGGTCAGCATAAGAAATTAAATGGGAAATTTTGGGGACTTTTGCAGAAGCTGCAGAGGACATGCAAAAGCCAGCAGACAACACAGAAAAAGTTTAGAAACTCAGAAATACATAAAATAAGTGTATTGTATATTATTATTATTATTATATTATAATGTTAATTTTATCTTTTAATACTGTAAACATCGCATAAAAGAAAAAAAATTTAGACTTCTCTGGTATGAAGAGAGGGCCAAAAAATTTTACATGGAATTTCTACATCACAAAGGCGCCATGCCCCAACCACCACGATATGGAAGAGATGAATCTCATTGTTTTTTGGAGGGAGGAGTTCAGACCTATGATTTTCTCAGGGTGAAGAACTCTCAGTGTGCAAACTCCTTTCATTAACACAGATAAGCAACTTGTCTGTAGTTTACAATCTCAAGAATTATCCAGGGCACTGAGAGATCAAGTTATTTGCTCACAGTCACATAGCTTCTATGTGTCTAAGGCACAATTTGAACCCAGGTCTTATCAACTTCCAAGGGTGCCCCTATATAAACTATGCCACAATGACTATCAATTAGACAAAAGAATAATCTACATTTCTGTATATTATCTTAGTTAAGCCTCCTAAGGACCATTTGTAGAAGTAAAAGTCAAATTCTAGTTGCTTAGGGTACTGAGATGAATTCTTACAATTTTGGCACCAAGTGTACATAAAATGCCTACTTGTACACCCAGTACTGTTCTTCTGGTAATTTACAATGTAGCTGGAGTGAGAGGAGATCAGGAGAACAAAATGTCTCTAAGGAAACAACGGAGAATAACACAAGAGACTATCTAAGTAAGTGCTACGGATGCTATGAGACAGATTGTATGTATTGCAGACAAAAGACAGACCCTGTTGTAGTGGGGCAAGGTCTATGAAAAAGTGATGTGGGCCTTTGATTTTCTGAGAATATCCTCTACCACCCCCACCTTCTGGAAAATACCCATACAAGAGTAAATTACACGCAGCTCTAATCGGAAAGCCAGGCTGGTTGCTATTTGTGTTTTCAAGTGTTTACAAGTGCGTTGGTAAGAACCACTACGAAAGCACAGACTTCCAGAGGAGACCCCAGGATCCTGAACTTGGGCTTTTGTGTTCTCCACTTAGCCATAATTTACTATCTGTCATGGTCACCTACCCAACAAGAGGGATATGCAATGGAGGCTGAGTTGCAGATGATTTGTTAATATTACTAATGGATTTATTCACAGCAACCTTACATTCACAGAGGAGGAAGTGCAGCAAAGGGAACATTTACTTATGTCCAATACTGAATGAGCTGGTAGTTGAATATAGAATCATTCATCCCCCTCGTTCATTCATTCAACAAGCATTTACGAGTCACAATGTCCAAGCGCTATGCTAAAGGCTGTGGATACAAAGACAAAAACATAAACGGTCCCTATCCTCATGAAGCTTCCGTTCTTCAGAAAGTAGAGATGATTCTTTTGAGTCAACCACTCTGAAAAATTAACTGATGGTTCTGCTGAATTGTGGTTTTTTAAAAATCTCTTAATCTTTAATCCTCTCTTTTTATTTTTTAAATTTTTTTAAATTTTTAGGCAATTGGGATTAAGTGACTTGCCCAGGGTGACACAGCTAGTAAATGTCAAGAGTCTGGTCTGAGGCCAGATTTGAACTCAGGTCCTCCTGACTTCAGGGCCCATGCTCTATCCACTGCGCCACTTAGTTGCCCCTTAATCCTCCCTTTTTAATAAGAGATAGTCTGACGGGTAAGGAATAATTGGAAGTTAATGTGATGGAAGGAAGGAAGGAAGGAAGGAAAGGAAGGAAGGAAGGAAGGAAGGAAGGAGGGAAGGAAGGAAGGAGGGAGGGAAGGAAGGAAGGAGGGAAGGAAGGATTTGTTAAGTGCCTACAATATGCCAGCCACTGTTCTATAAACACTTTACAAATACTATCTCATTTGATCCTCACAACCTTGGGAGGTAGGTGCTATTATTATGTCCATTTTACAGTTGAGGTAACCGAGGCAAACCAAAGTTTGCTGACCTGCCCAGATCATACAGCCAGAAGGTGTCTAAGGTCAGATTTGAATTCAGGTCTTTTTGACTCCAGGGCCAGCACTCTATCCACTTCTCCTCATTCTCTACTTGGCTGCCCTGGGCCTCAGTTTCTTCATCTGTGAAATGAGTGGGTAGACCAGATAGTCTCTGGCGCCCCTTCCAGCTCTTGAGCTGTGATAGCTAGGACAGCTGAATGACCCCATGCACCAGCCCACGTGAGGCTAAGGATGCTGGGGACCCACTAGTAGGCCTCTTACCTGCTGCATCCTCAGGGCCTCCAGTTCTCTCTCCAGCCGGGTCCTCAGCCTTCGTTCCATCTGCTCTCTCTTCTCACATGCGGCCTGCAGTTGGGTCAGGGCCTGTTGCAACTTCTCTACCTTCTCCACATAAGCTTGTTTCTTCCGTAACTGAGGGGAAGAGAAAAGAAAATGAGAGGAGGAGGGGTTCAATTCACTAGACATTTATAACACTTCTTAAGCACCTACAGTGTACTGTGTGGCCAGACACCATACCAGATGCTAAGTCTACAAAGATGAAAAAAACACAATCCTTACCCTCAAGGAATGTACAATCTAACGGGGGATAGAACATACACACAATCAAGGCAGCATAATCAAGGAAGAACTGGGCATGAGCAAAGGAAAAATATAAAGCAGTCTATAAAAATCTAAGGCAAGTGAAAAAACTTTAGGTGGGGAAAGAGAAAAATTAGGGAAGGCTTCATGGAGGAGGCAGATTCTGAGGTACACCTCTGAGAGATTTTAGTAAGCAGAGATACAGGGAAGCACACGTAGACTGTGTTTGAAGAAGCATCAGACAATGGTCACTATCATGCTTAGAAGCATTATTTACTCTTGGTTTTTTGTTATTGTTTTCTTGTTTTTTTGTCAAGACCTAAGACTTCATCGCTTGTGGGGCAGGGGAGAACTCTTAATGTGGAAACTCTATCCAATGATGCAGATTAGAGTAATTCATCTGTAATTTTTAGTTTTTGAACTGCCTGGAGAACTGAGAAGCTAAGTGACTTGGCCATGGTCATAGCTAATATAGATGAGAAGGTAGGATTGTAATTAAGACCTTTCCTCTACCCATTTTTCTCCATGCTACTGCTCAAAAGGGTATGGTATTCAAATTTTCAAGACCCTTGAGGGCAGGGAACATATCCTTTTACCTAGTTTTGTACCGCAGTTAGCACAAGGTCTAATTAAGTCTTTAATAACGATAGTGTTGAAGAGCACCTTTCATCAAAGACTATCAAAGGTTCCAAAGTACTTTAAAGACAATAAATTGCTAACCCCTCAAGAAGGAAGTGGGGAAGCTTCATATTTAAGAAATAGACAAGTAAGTGACAAGTAAGGAGACTGAGGCCCACAAGGTGGAAAGTCAAGGCAAACACACCAGAAGGTCTCCTCAGGAATGGTGCTGGAGTATGACCAGGGCCTCTAGACCCCCACTTGCCCCCTGTAATCACCAGAGCGTACTTCCTCCCATGCAGCAGATTAGTTAATGACCATAAATCGCAGGCATATACATCCAGGGAATTAGCTGATACTCAAAATTAGGCTGAGATGGCCACACAAAACCGGCCCTGAGAAACTAGACGCTATTTCCTGTCATTCGGCACCTGGCCATGGAGATGCCTGGGGCTGGTTCAGAGTATAAATTCAAACTGTTCTGACCTCCTCCTGTTTGTACATGCAAGTGATTTATGGGCTCCCTGCTATGTGAGGATTCTGCAAACCATCGGTGGAATCCTGAGAGAGATCCTGGCCTCAGTAAAGATGCTAGCCCCACTGGGCATCGCCTCCCTAAGAGGGACTGCTGCAGGGCTGTGAGCCATTCCTGACCTTTTGGAGAAGCACGGGGACAGGCACTCGAAGGCCTGCTCTAAGCCTGATTTTCGGGTTGGTTTTCATCCTGCACTCCTCCTCCTGTGCTCCTGTGTTACTAAGAGCTATGAGTTTAGGCCCTGGGAATGAGGAGCTACTGGGGTCAAGGAACGAAACAGGATTAAAATGGGAGTCAGATTGTGGTTACTCTCTGACTGATTAGAGAAACTTCTGAGAAGATATGCGTGGCACCATGGATACTTTAGATGTCACCCTAGAACAGAGGGGGCATCATATAAGAGGTAGCTATGATAGCACAAAAAAAGGGCATTGGGGTCAAGGCACCCCACATTTGGATCCTGGCTGGGCAAGTTGGTTTCCTCATGTGTAAAAGGAGGAGGTTACTTATGCAGATTTGCTCTAAATTTATTATTTCATGATCTCTAAAGTCCATTCCAGTTCTAAATTTTATGAACCCGATAATAACTCATTTTCATCGTGCTTTACAGTTTACAAAGCATTTCTCCCAACTTGCGAAGTAGGTAGTCCCAGTATCATTCCCATTTTACAGATGGAGAAACTGAACCTCAGAAGTGATAAGTGGTTTCTCAAAAGTCACATAGCTAATAAATGACAAGCCAAGCCTTGGACTCGGGCCTTGAGGATATAAGACCCATGCCCATTTCATTCTAACAAGTGGTCTCTCTATACCCCAATCATCACAATGATTGTTTATATAGTACTTGGCTCTAAGAGGCTCACAACTAGCTTAAATAGAAGTTCTGGACCAAAATTTCTGAGGACTACATATGATTTGGGAATGAAATTTGGAGCTGGAAGGGGCCTTAGTGGCAAGTTGGTTCAACCTCTTCTATTAGAGATGAGGAAATTGAGATTTCAGCAAGAATCAATGAATTGCCCATATTCACAGAGCTATTAAGTTTCACAGGTAAGATCTGAATCCATGTCTTCTTGATTGCATCCTTTTAACTGTCCCATCGTTCTGCCTTTCAAGGAGTATCTTGCTTTGAATAATAACCATAAAGTATGGAAAATTTATTTTATGATGCTAAGGGTGAAGACTCCATCCATTAGATCTATCGCTTTCCCATAGCCTGCCTTTGAAAAACTCTTCCCTTGGACATCAACAGGTCTAATAACCATTTCTTTCTTGTTTGTTTGTTTTGCTTTTCTTTTGGATGAGGCAATCAGGGTTAAGCGACTTGCCCAGGGTCACACAGCTAGTAAGTGTCGAGTGTCTGAGGTTGGATTTGAACTCAGGTCCTTCTGACTTCAAGGCCGGAGCTCTACCCACTGTGCCACCTAGCTGCCCCAATAATCATTTCTAACTACTATTTACTTAGTGGATGAATTTCTATACTATCTGTAGTACTACAAGCAAGATATTTGGGAAATACTTTGGTGCTTGCAGAACCAAAACATGAAGTCTTTCCATGCTTTCACCATTCTGGAACCGTAACTCCTATATCATAGGAAGCTTAGTATGGTAGAAAGAGTGTTGAACTGAAGAATCACAGGCCCAGAATTCAAATCATGGCTCTACCACTCACTACCTGTGTGACTTTAATTAGGGCTGGGCTTCAGTTTCCTTATCTCTAAAATGAGAGGGATTGGACCAGATGAATTCTAAGGCCCCTTCTGGCTCTAAATACATAATCCTATGAAAAGATCTTAATAGTTGGGGAACTGAAATTCTCAAATGAAGTAAAAGGAAAAACGGTGGGCCCTAGTTGGAGCCAGTAGCTTCTAATTCTCTGGACATGCCATAAATCCTTGTCAGAGAGGAAGCAATGAAAAAGTAACAGGCCTCGCAAGGAGAGGCCAGCAGGCTCAGCACCCAGGGTATCCTGGGTTGTGGCTGAGCTTCTATGAGATGGAGAACTTCCCTGAAGGACAGGCAGTCCCCGCCCATATCATTTAAGGAATAGGGCTCTTTGTCCACAGAGAAAGCCTGTTTGTTACAAAGGATTATCCAGCCATGTGGATTTTACAGACCTTCTTCAGAAGTTCACATACAGTTTCAAGGTTTTGTTTCCTTCACTGGCCCTTCCCGTTGCCCGGATCACCAGCAAAAGATACAACCTCATATACCAAAAAATTCACTCGAGTGTCATACCTCCTCTCCCCACCCCACCCCACCAGCCTAGAGCAGGGCGTTTCTGTCTTTTTCACAGCCCACCACCTCCCATGACTTCAGCAATCACTTTTTTTTGCACCTGTTTTCTCACGGCATAAGTTTCAAGTAGGAAGAAGCCTGCTTGAAAAGTCATCTAGGGGTAGCTAGGTGGTACAATGGATAGAGCACCAGCCCTGGATTCAGGAGGACCTGGGTTCAAATCCGGCTTCAGACACATAACACTTACTAGCTGTGTGACCCTGGGCAAGTCACTTAACCCCATAGCCTAGCCAAAAAAAAAAAAAGTCACCTAAAGCCTGCTAAAGAAGTCATCTAGTATAACCTCCTGACTTTACAGACGAAGAAACTGTGGACCAGAGAAGGGGTGGGACCTGCCCAAAGCCACACGGGGAGTAAGTGGCAAAGCCATCATTTGAATCCAGGTCAACCAGTCAAATCATCACTAAGCACTTTCTTGTTCGCTCTTTTTTTTCCCTTGGTATAATCAGTGCCTAGCACAGTACCTGGCACATAGCTGATACGTAATAAATGTTGCTGATAACCTGATCAGCCGATTAAATGCCTACTATCTGATAGCAGGGTCCTCCAACTCCATATTGGGCACTCTTACAGAGCCATCCCTCCATTCTTGTTCCTGGCTGCAGGAGGTATTTTCTATAAGAGCATCTTTGCTACTTAAGATTCTGAGCTGCCACTTCTTCTATGAAATGGGTTCCTTGTCCATAAGGGTGCCATTTACTGTGAGAAAACCTCTGGGTGCGGAGCTGTAAGAGCCTCAGGTGTCAGATGCCATTGATAGGCCAGGCCTCCATCTTCCTATGTGTCCTTTCTCCTCTCTGATTCCCCAGTTAGGGCCTCAGGAAGAAATCATTCCAACTCCACCCAGCTGGGCTTAAAGGAACAGTATTAGTTTAAAAAAATATTTTAAACCTAGAAAGGTTTGGTTCCTTTAGAAAATGTCAAGAACATGATGCTTGAGAAGGGTCAGAATTTCCTGGACCACAGTCCTGGAAATGGCTGGGCCAAATCCCCAAAACTGGACAGAGTTCTGCTGTACATGGCATTCCTTCATCTGATTCTCTCCCCCTCTGCAAACCTTTCCTCCACCCCACCTCTTTTCTTCTTGAGACATTTGCCTTATTCTGTGTAATTTAAATGAGACTGAGGTCCAAAAGAGACAGCAATTGCATATTTCCCAAATTTATTCCAAGACTGTTTTCTCTTTGCAAGTCCTGATGATTTCCTGGCCCCATGTTCATTTGCAGCTGGATACGTAACAACTCCTTGGTTCTTGTGCGAAAAGGTTTAGGCTCATTAATGCCTGCAATCACAGCTGCCTTTTACAGTGTGTCTGGCTCAGGGCTATATAAACTCAATTTGTATTCTTTTTATTTGGGAGCTTTCCCCATTTACCATCTCCCCCTCCCCACAACAGCTTCAAAACTGGCACCAGTTAAGGACTGGGGCTGAGCTGGCCAGATGAAGAGAGCCACATAGGAGGTTCTCTCAGCTAGGCTTCTCCCCTACTGGAGTCGTGGAAGGTCTCACCTCTTCTTCCAGTTTGACGACCTTGCCTTGAGCGTTGTTCAGGGCCTGGTCCAGGATCTCAATATGCCTTCGCTGATCCTCGCTAGCAGTACGTGCTGCTGCTAACTCCATCTCTAGCTTCTCCTTTTCCTTCAAGTACTCTTTGTCTGGAATGGAGATAAGAACAAGATTGTCTTTCTCATCACTAAGGCCCCGACAGCCTTATTTTTGGGAAGCAGCAGAGGGCTGAATTACCTACCACACTTCCTCTTGGTTAATAGTGGTGGTATGTGAGGGAAGGAGAAACACAGCTAAGTGGTATACTGGAGAAAATGAAGGACTTGGAGTCAGAAAGACCTGGATTCAAATCTGGCCTCAGACACTTACTAGTTGTGTGGCCCCTGGCAAGTCACTTAACCTCTCTATGCCTCAGTTTCCTCATGTAAAATAGGGATAAGTTAACAGATATACAGTACTTTGCAAACCATAAAGCATTATATAAATGCTTGCTATTATTACAGTTATTGTTATTGTTTGTCCTTCATTCTTGAAGAGGACCATGGCATCAGAAAGGTGATGCCATGACTTGCAAATGAATTAGATTTAATTGAGGGACAATTGGGCAAAGTCACCAACCTCACTTTCTCCTCCAGAGCCATCTGGGTCCAGTGGCAAAATATAGATCGGGATGATTGGAGATGGCCCCGGATGCAGTGGGAGACCTTGGTCTTTTTAAGCTAAGATCTTTCCCAGATCTCTGTTTGACTGAGATTGACTCAGTTCAATGCCCATTCCATGATTAAGGCTAGGTAAGAAGTGAGGCAAAGAATGGCTTCTTCCACATAGTTAAAAAAAAATCAATCTGGGAGAGGAAGACCTTCAGGTTTTCTGGCCGAAAACAGAAACAGTTGCTATTTACATTCATTCTGAGCCATCTGGGCCCAAACAATGTCTAGGTAAGGTTTGGGCTAGGACCTATTGTCAGCCAATCAGTGAAAGCCAGAGTGATTTGAGTTTAAGGCATAGTCCTTAAGAAAGAAATCTGGCCATCAACCTCAGGGAATCTCATGAGGTTTCAGTGATCAAAATTTATATTCCTTTGGGCAGAGTACCCACATATAGGGTATATAATAATAGTTATTATTATCACTGCAAAACTACCACTAATGCACAATTAATCACAGGTTATGATTCTATGGGTTTCAGAGATCCACACTTTGCTAAGTTATTGACTTTTCTAAAAAAACCAAACCTTATGCTTGTACAATCTATAAGCATTCATTAGGCACCTAGTATGGTGCTAGGTGCTGGAGGTTCAAAGGCAAAAATAAAACAGGCCCTTCTTTCAAGGAGCTTACATTCTATAAGGGGAGACATAAATATAAGTAAGTATGCACCAAATAAAATACATACATACAAAATAATTTAAGGAGGAGTCACTAGCAGTTGTGGAGGTCAGGAAAGGTCTTACATGAAAAATGATGCCTAAGTTGAGCTCTGAAGGAAACTATGAATTATAAAAAATGAAGTTGAAGTGGCATATCTCAGGCATGAGAAGCAACCATCCAGAGTTGAGTAGTAGACACTGTAATGACCATGAAGACAGTAAGATCTGGGTTCAAAATTTACTTCTGACATACACTACCCCTCTGACCATGGGCAAGGTATTTACTGTGCCACAGCAACTTTCTAAGACTATCTGATCTATGGCAAAGGGCACTACTACTCATTAAGCTTCTTGTCTACAAGGGTGTGACTCATTTTGAAAATGCCTTTGGTTAGGAGTTTCCATACCAGAAATTGACTATACTCAAAAAATCACAGGTCTAGACTAAAATATGTGTGTTTGAACATATATATTAATATGTATACATGTATACCTATATGTGTGTGTGTATATGTATACATGTGTATATGTATATATAAATACATGAAAACTTTGAACTTTTGAAAGCATTTTCATATCTACTATCTTACTCTCTCATAATAATCCTATGAGGAAAGTGGGTCAAGCATTATTATTCCCATGTATATATGAGAGTTAAAGTGCCTTGCTCAAGGTCAAATAACATCTTGATCAAATTCACACAGCATGATGATGTTTGCAAAGAGCTTTCCTCACAACAGCCCTGTCAGGGATGACAGGAAAGCATTATTATCTACATTTAGTAATGAGGAAGTTAAGGCTCTGAAATGTTAAGTAACTTGTCTTCTTTCCACTGACAGCACCATCATCTTCCCAGTCATTTTTGACTCTTCTCCCACATCCAAGGAGCTACCAAGTCTTATTGATTATACCTTTGCAATGTATTCTGACTCAACTCTTTTCTCTGGGATAATGACATTCTAGCAATTCACCTGCCCTACTCTATGCATGCCTGCCTAGGGGACACATGGCAGCATGAAATAAGATGTATTTAAATGTTTTCTTGCTCATTTAACTCTTTTTTATATCAACATAAGTCGTGTTTGTATCTGAATTCCCTCTATACATTCATGTTCTCTGTTTTATATAGAAAACTCAATCTGGGGTGCTTGTTTATGTAACCAATGCTATCAAGTAGCCAGCATTAAATGCTTTCTTCCCACTCTGTGAACATGGCAGCCTGGAATAATTGATGGGTTACTGGACTTGCTGTTGTGAAGACCCAGGTTCGAATCTCATTGCCTCTACTTACTAGATACACGACCACAGTCAAGTCATTTAACTTCTCTGAGACATGGTCGACTGTCCAAAAATATGGACCACAGTTGGCAGGCTCTCCAATGGAAGGACTTTCTGCCCTAATAAAATCACATGTCCTTTGTGTATTACACTGTATTAAGATTTGGGAATATAAAAGTTCTTCCTCCTCCCTTAGGTTTAGAAGCACTTATAATCAATTTAAGGAAACAGAATATGTTGATAAAAATAAATAAATAAAAAGGATATAAGAAACAGACATACTTTCAGGGTGAAATTGCTGGGGAACAGCTCTTGGGTTCAATGCTAGCCTAAGTCCACAAAAGCCTTAGTCTAGGTCTAGGTCCTCACAATCATGGTATGGAGGTGACACTGGGTTCTCAAAGAATATGCCACTGCAGCATAAACTCTAGCAGTCTGGCAGATAAAGTCCCAGTGATGGGCTATTCTCTGAAGTGCAACTTAGACAAAGTCAGAGAAACTAATCATTAAGTTGGCTGGAGGCTGATGGATTTTTTTCAGCCACATCAAGTCAGGAAGACTGTCTACTAAGTTAGGGTAGAATTGTGGTCTGACGGGGCAAAAGGAGCACCTGCACTGAGGAAGGCAGTGTGACAGGGAGGATAACATGCTAAATCTGGAGACTGGAAGACCTCTTGGGTTCAAATCCCACTGCTACTTGTGACCATGAGAAAGTAATTTCCTCTCTCGAGCCTCAGTTTCCTTACCTATAGAATCAGGATAATAATGCTTATAATGATTACTCCATGTGATGTTGGGAGGTCCATATGAGATAATCCATGTAAAGCACTTTGCCAACTTCATCACACTGATTAAATGTCAGCTACTATTATCTATGATAATTACTGCAGATTCTACTGAAATAACAGATACGTAAAGTCAAATAGCAACCATACTTCCTAACAATAATGGTATCCCTTAAAAACAAAATCTGAGATGCCCAGATCTTGTGCTGGAATAGTGCACCAGTTATGAGTCCATCAAAGTCTAGTGAGATAAGTGTTTACTTTTTTCTTCCCTCTTTTCAGTGGCAATTTACTCGATACCTCTAGGTTGCCAGCCCAAAGCCTCTTGGGCCAATGTATACACAGGACATCACAAAGAAAGGTCAGCTGTAGCGCACCCACAGGCTTTGGTACCAATCTCTGTGTCACTGAATCAAACATTTACATCCCTCTTTTTTTCCCCTAAGGAAAGTCACTGAAGTCCAAGGAACAACTCCATGGGCCTGGACAGCATCTCCTCTGGCCAGGTGCCCAATGGCCTTGTCAAGTCTCTGGAGTGCATCCAGACCTCACCAAGCAAGCATTCCTGTCAATGAGTCTTTGGCATTTCAGCCCAGCTGAGCAGAAACTTCTTTTTCAGCTAAATGGAGGACATTGCCCAGCCTGCCATGGTGGGGCCATGGGAATGGGTGAGGCTTGCACTTGAAATGTCAAAATTATAACCTCAAGAGGAAGGACCGTAATAAAGGCTCCCTTTTTCTTAGGTGAGTATTACTATTACTATCATGATGTCCCATTGATAGGTGGTTCCAGATAATGATTGTAATGAGTTAATGATACTGATAATAATAGCAGCTCACACTGACATGGTGTTTTGGAGTTTTGCAAAACATTTTCTATATATTATCTCAGTAGACCTCAAAATAACTCTGAGGTAATAAATGCTATTATTATCCCCATTTTATAGATGAAAATACTGATGCTCACTGAGGTAAAGTGATTTCCCAGGCTAGTAAGGATCTGAATTAGAATTTGAATTTAGGTCTTATTTACTGCAAGTCCAATTTTATTTTTATTTCTCAGAGACTTTTTTATTTAATTTCCTAAATGTGTTATTTTTTTCAATGTTGTATTTAAATCTCAACACTGAGCATCAATACAAAAAACTAACCTTGTTCACTAATTTAATTAAGTGCAATGCACAAAGTATCCTAACACTATTCCAGCTATTCCCTCTAAGTTCCCATTAGGATTGTCTGTCTCCTCTTTCTCATTTACTTTTGTTCATGTGATCATAGTTAGCATCTACTCTAGCCTTTTGGAGATATTGAGCTTACAGAAGTGGAGGAGGAAGATGTCATAAAGCACTCATATGCTAACATGTAGGATAGAGATCGGACTTGAACTTGCTGATCCCAGAGAAGTTACAAAAAGAAGGAATTGGGGGGCAGCTAGGTGGCGCAGTGGATAGGGCACCAGCCCTGGAGTCAGGAGGACCCAAGTTCAAATCCAGCCTCAGACACATAACACTAGAAGGGCAAGTCCCTTAATCCCAATTGCCTCACCCAAAAATAAAGAGAGAGAGAGAGAGAGAGAGAGAGAGAGAGAGAGAGAGAGAGAGAGAGAGAGAGAGAGAGAGAGAGAGAGAGAGAGAGAGAGAGAGAGAGAGAGATGGATGAATAAATACAGAAATGGAAAAGGAATTGGCAAGGAAGAACTTCCTGTCTTTTGAGCTGTC